CGCATAAACACGCATGGGCTGCAGACTGCAGTGTTCGCTTACTATGAGAACTTAATTGTTTAATAACTTTTTTATGGGCATACGATCTTCATGAAACTTTTAGATCGTATTTATAACCATAATGTGCGTGCACTTGCGAAAGCACGCCTTTAAAAAAAATGGTGGTGAGGGGGTGGACATAGGGGTGGGGGGTAAATTTCAACAAAAACCGAAATTGTATAAAATGCATATAAATATACATTCAAAATTGGAGACTGTAGCTCCAAATATGTAGGAGATATCACTTTATACCTGAATTTCGATAAGCCTTTTTATCGATAAAAATATCGGGATGAGTTATCGTTTTTTTAATGATAAACTCGATATCCGCGCTGTAAATACGGACACTTAAAAAGTTGAAGTCTCTAGCTCTTATATCTTCTGAAATCGACGCGTTCATACATATGGACAGACGGACGGACGGACGGACGGACAGAGTAAAAATCGACTCAGCTCGTCGCGTGATCAAGAATATATACTTTATGGGGTATGTCACGCCTCCTTCTGCCTGTTACATATTTTTAACAAAACCATTATACCCTGATTTCTCATTTTCAATGGGTTCAGGGTATAACAAGTAGGAAAGCTCTAGTCGAGACTGCTCGACTACGAGATCCCCTGAACCCTTGGAGCAATAGCTATTTCAATAATTTTTCGCGTCTTTCAGCTTACACAAGAAACACGCACACACACACACACACACGCACGCACGCACACACAGGCATACATACACACACACATACACAAACATTTATACATACATACACAAACACATACACACACAAGCATAAATACGCATGGGCGGCAGTGTGCGCTTACTATGAGAACTTAATTGTTTAATAACTTTTTTTGTGGACATACGATCTTCATGAAACTTTCAGAATATGATTATAATACATGACATAGATATGCATGTATTTGCCAAAGCTCAAGTCTCTAGTATTTGAAATACGTTTTTTACAAAAGTGATGGTGAGGGGGTGGACATAGAGGTGGGGGGTAAATTGTAACAAAAATCGAAATTATATAAAGTAAATATAAGTCTACATTTAAAATTTGCAAGCTCTAGCTCAAAAGGTGTAGGAGATATAATTAAATAATTACCTTTCGATAAGGTTTTTGATCGATAATAAAATATCGGGAGTAGTTATCGATATATAGAGAAAAACTTGATATGCGCGTGATATACACGGACCTAGGAAAAAAAATTTCAAGTCTCTAGCTCTTATATCTTCGGAAATCGACGCGTTCAAACATACGGACAGACGGACGGACAGACAGACGGACAGGTCCAAATCGACTTAGCTCGTCGCCCTGATCAAGAATATATACTTTATGGGGTCTTCCACGCCTCCTTCTGCCTGTTACATACTTTTAACAAAACCATTATACCCTGATTTCCCATTAAAAATGGGTTCAGGGTATAAAAATATGCATATAAATATACATTCAAAATTGGAGACTGTAGCTCCAAATATGTAGGAGATATCACTTTATACCTGAATTTCGATAAGCCTTTTTATCGATAAAAATATCGGGATGAGTTATCGTTTTTTTTAATGATAAACTCGATATCCGCGCTGTAAATACGGACACTTAAAACGTTGAAGTCTCTAGCTCTTATATCTTCTGAAATCGACGCGTTCATACATATGGACAGACGGACGGACGGACAGAGTAAAAATCGACTCAGCTCGTCGCGTGATCAAGAATATATACTTTATGGGGTATGTCACGCCTCCTTCTGCCTGTTACATATTTTTAACAAAACCATTATACCCTGATTTCTCATTTTCAATGGGTTCAGGGTATAACAAGTAGGAAAGCTCTAGTCGAGACTGCTCGACTACGAGATCCCCTGAACCCTTGGAGCAATAGCTATTTCAATAATTTTTCGCGTCTTTCAGCTTACACAAGAAACACGCACACACACACACACACACGCACGCACGCATACACAGGCATACATACACACACACATACACAAACATTTATACATACATACACAAACACATACACACACAAGCATAAACACGCATGGGCGGCAGTGTGCGCTTACTATGAGAACTTAATTGTTTAATAACTTTTTTTGTGGACATACGCCCTGATCAAGAATATATACTTTATGGGGTCTTCCACGCCTCCTTCTGCCTGTTACATACTTTTAACAAAACCATTATACCCTGATTTCCCATTAAAAATGGTTTCAGGGTATAAAAATATGGCCTTAGTCTATTTTAACATTGACGCTAAAAGCAATTGTTATACCCTGAACCCATTGAAAATGGGAAATCAGGGTATAAGCGTTTTGTTGAAATGTATGTAACAGGCAGAAGGAGGCGTGGCAGACCCCACAAAGTATATATATTCTTGATCAGGGCGACGAGCTAAGTCGATTTGGCCCTGTCCGTCTGTCTGTCCGTCCGTCCATCCGTCCGTCCGTCCGTAGGTATGAACGCGCCGATTTCAGAAGATATAAGAGCTAGAGACTTGAAATTTTTTTCCTAGGTCCGTGTATATCACGCGCATATCAAGTTTTTCTCTATATATCGATAACTACTCCCGATATTTTATTATCGATCAAAAACCTTATCGAATGCTAGTTATTTAATTATATCTCCTACATCTTTAGAGCTAGAGCTTGCAAATTTTATATATAGACTTATATGTATTTTATATAATTTCGATTTTTGTTGTAATTTCCCCCCACCCCTATATCCACCCCCTCACCCTCACCTTTGTAAAAGGCGTATTTCAAATACTAGAGACTTGTGCTTTGGAATGTACATACATTTGAACATTATGATTATATTCTGAAAGTTTCGTTAAGATTGTACGTCTAGAAATTAAATTATTCAACAAATAAATTCTTATAATGTTGCCCACACTACAGCGCAGCACAAGCGCAGTCGCTGCTTACTGAGCAGTTAGCAGAGCGCGTTCTAATAAGTGCGTGTGTATGTATGTGTGCCGAAAAGAAGGGTAGAGTGAATATCAGATTAGAGGGTTTAGGGTATCTCCTAGTCGAGCAGTCTCGACTAGAGTCCTCTTACTTGTTATACCCTGAACCCATTGAAAATGGGAAATCAGGGTATAATGCTTTTGTTAAAAGTATGTAACAGGCAGAAGGAGGCGTGGCAGACCCCACAAAGTATATATATTCTTGATCAGGGCGACGAGCTGAGTCGATTTGGCCCTGTCCGTCTGTCTGTCCGTCCGTCCGTCCGTCCGTCCGTCCGTCCGTATGTATGAACGCGTCGATCTCAGAAGATATAAGAGCTAGAGACTTGAAATTTTTTTTCCTAGGTCCGTGTATATCACGCGCATATCAAGTTTTTCTTTATATATCGATAACTACTCCCGATATTTTATTATCGATTAAAAACCTTATCGAAAGCTAGTTATTTAATTATATCTCCTATACCTTTACAGCTAGAGCTTCCAAATTTTAAATGTAGACTTATATGTATTTTATATAATTTCGATTTACCCCCCACCCCTATATTCACCCCCTCACCCTCACCTTTGTAAAAGGCGTATTTCAAGTACTATAGACGTGTGCTTTAGAATATTCACACATTTTTACCATATGATTACGCTCTGAAAGTTTCATTAAGATTGTACGTCTAGAAATTAAATTATTCAACAAATAAATTCTTATAATGTTGCCCACACTGCAGCGCAGCCCAAGCGCAGTCACTGCTTACTGCGCAGTTAGCAGAGCGCGTTCTAATACGTGCGTGTATGTATGTGTGCTGAAAAGAAGAGCAGAATGATTAGAATATCAGATTAGAGGGTTCAGGGTATCCCCTAGTCGAGCAGTCTCGACTAGAGTCTTCTTACTTGTTATACCCTGAACCCATTTTCAATGGGTAATAGTTTTGTTAAATGTATGTAACAGGCAGAAGGAGGCGTGGCAGACCCCATAAAGTATATATATTCTTGATCAGGGCGACGAACTGAGTTGATTTGGCCCTGTCCGTCTGTCTGTCCGTCTGTCCGTCTGTCCGTCTGTCCGTCCGTCCGTCTGTCCGTCTGTCCGTCTGTCCGTATGTATGAACGCGTCGATTTCAGAAGATATAAGAGCTAGAGACTTCAAATTTTTTTTAAATGTTCGTAATTACAGCGCGCATATCAAGTTTATCATTAAAAATCGATAACTCATCCCGATCTTTTTTTATCGATAAAAAACCTTATCGAAAACCAGTTACAAAATTATATCTTCTACACCTTTATTGCTAGAGTCTCCAAATTTTTAATGTATGCTTATATGCAATTTATACAATTTCGGTTTTTGTTAAAATTTACCCCCCACCCTTAAATTCACCCCCTCACCATCACTTTTGTAAAAAGCGTATTTCAAATACTAGAGACTTGTGCTTTGGCAATTACATGCATATCCATGTCATAATCATAATCTAAAAGTTTCATGAAGATCGTACGTCCACAAAAAAGTTATTAAGCAATTAAGTTCTCATAGTAAGCGCTCACTGCCGCCCATGCGTGTTTATGCTTGTGTGTGTATATGTATGTAATTGTTTGTGTATGTGGGTGTGTGTGTGTGTGTGTGTGTGTGTGTGTGTTGTGTGTATGTATGTGTGTGTATGTATGCCTGTGTGTGCGTGCGTGCGTGCGTGTGTGTGTGTGTGTGTGTGCGTGTTTCTTGTGTAAGCTGAAAGACGCGAAAAATTATTGAAATAGCTATTACTCCAAGGGTTCAGGGGATCTCGTAGTCGAGTAGTCTCGACTAGAGCTTTCTTACTTGTTTTTTATTTCAATCTCTGAAATCTAGCGTTGGGTATACATGCGTAACCTCACTTTTACAATACACTTTACTTACAAAAAAAAAAAAAAATTAAAATGTTTAAAATATACTTGTATATAATTTATATTACTTATATTTTTGTTTTGCTCTATATTTATATTTTATTTTATTTATATTCATATTTTTCCATCTTATAGTTGTGTCTGTCGCTCAAACACCGTCAATATCTAAAGGAATCGAAATCAAGAATAAAATCGCTATCACTTGACTTTATGAGATTTTCCCCACGGTTTGCAATTTTTAAATGGCTTAAAGGGATTTTGAATTTAACCATTGAGACTAACGAAACCCCTGATAAAACGAATTTATTTTCGTCGAAAAAGGAAACACGTTACAATATGGGTGAGGTAATATTACCAGATCAACAGTACGAAAACCCACATACAAATGAATTTAATAAAAGCAAGCACAGCAAAAGGAAAACGATATCTGAAACATTTATCGACAACAATTGCATTTGACGCCGACGCAAAAAAGTTGCAACTTAGTATGCAAAGGATATTATTAAAACGGAGAACGAGCTTCTCGAGCTGAAAAATGAGATGGAACAATTTACATTCCTAATAAACAACCTTAAGCAAATGGTATTGCAAAAAAGTACAAAAACGGTTGAGGAAATTAAGTCCGTTATAATATTTATGAATTCTGCGACAATAATGCAAGCATGTTAGATTACCTCTGTATTATAAGTTTACCAATAAAATTTTTGTAATACTAATAGTATTTAAGTATGCCAAATAATTAATGTTCACAAAATTAATCATTTGTATCCTCCGTATATACACATATCTGAAGAAAAAGATTTATATCAATAAAAACTATAACTTAATTTTATAATCTATCAAGAAGCTTATTGAAGATTAATTATTATTATAGATTTGTGCAATATATAAACTAGTCTCTATATTATTTTTTAGCACTTGGACTTAACCGAATTCGCAATACTTTCTTCCCGATTTGTGTTTATATCCTGAATCGTTTGAAAAAATAAAATAATCGAAGAACCACTAACCAGAGAACACATAGACCGGACACGTAGTTTGCAGAATTGCAGAATCGCGTTTATAGTTAAGTGGCAGCAAAAGCTTCGCACACAGGCATACAAATGCTTCTAAAAGTGATAGTACATGTAACAAGGGACAGTGTGTGTGTGAATGCTCGTCGCGAAAACATTTTCTTTATGCGCACCAACGCTTTCATACCCTTCCCACAAATAATGACAAAAACGCAAACTTTTTGCACGAGCATGGCGAACGGTTTGAAGAATTCGGAATAGTCTTCACTCAGAAGGGAAGACATGGGTCTTGCTGCGAAGAAATATCAATTTTTGTTAGCTGCTTCTTGTGCTCACATGCATACATACATATACATATTTGAAAGAGCATTGAGAGAGAGAGAGAGAGAGAGATCAAGGATGAACATTGAGTAAAGAGGGATCTTCTGTTTAACAGCCGACCATCTCGGTCGAGCGCATGAAGCGAAATGTTAGTGTTTTTGTACATTTTCGTAGCCCAAGCCCTAAATTGAGGAGCCGAGCATATACGAACGAGTAAATTTCTGATAGCATAATCTATTGAATTGCACATATATATATATATACATATATATATATATATATATATATATATATATATATATATATATATATATATATACAATATATGAAGTTGACATATGCCAGAAATATAAGTAAGAGTATCATGCTCACAACATAGCAACTCTTTGTTGCTTTTTTTATATTATAACAGCTATACATAAGTGCCGTAATATGATCGGTCCCTAGACCGGCCTGCAGCGTGGGATCTGCAACGTAAGCATTGTTACGTTCTTGTCCACGCCGCAGCTTAAACGCTAAAATGTATATGCCTTCTGCATATGCATACAAACAAATATATACGTACACATACAGCATGCTATATACTCCCATTCTGCCGCTGCTTTTAGCGACAGAATTCTTTATGTAAACTTTATGTATTTTAGGCTACGACTTTATTTGAATAAAATACGGAGAGCATTAGCTATCCAATACTCGAATGAAAACGTTGTTTAAAATATATATATATGTATATATATATATATATATATACTAGTTGTCCCGGCGAACTTCGTACCGCCTAACAGTCTCTATATATAAAACAAAGTAGAGTTTGTTACAAAACTTATAATTCGAGATCAGCTGCACCAATTTTCATGGTTTTTGATTTGTTGGATTTGTCTCTGCCCCGAATTGGAAACAGGCATTGTATTTTTATACCCTGAGCCCATTGAAAATGGGAAATCAGGGTATAATGGTTTTGTTAAAAGTATGTAACAGGCAAAAGGAGGCGTGGCAGACCCCACAAAGTATATATATTCTTGATCAGGGCGACGAGCTAAGTCGATTTGGCCCTGTCCGTCTGTCTGTCCGTCCGTCCGTCCGTCCGTCCGTATGTATGAACGCGTCGATTTCAGAAGATATAAGAGCTAGAGACTTGAAACTTTTTTTCCTAGGTCCGTGTATATCACGCGCCTATCAAGTTTTTCTTTATATATCGATAACTACTCCCGATATTTTATTATCGATCAAAAACCTTATCGAAAGGTAGTTATTTAATTATATCTCCTACACCTTTAGAGCTAGAGCTTGCAAATTTTAAATGTAGACTTATATGTATTTTATATAATTTCGATTTTTGTTGTAATTTACCCCTCACCCCTATATCCACCCCCTCACCATCACCTTTGTAAAAGGCGTATTTAAAGTACTAGAGACATGTGCTTTGGAATGTACATACATTTTCACCATATAATTACGCCCTGAAACTTTCATTAAGATTGTACGTATAGAAATTAAATTATTCAACAAATAAATTCTTATAATGTTACTACACTACAGCACAGCCCAAGCGCAGTTAGCAGAGCGCATTCTAATACGTGTGTGTGTATGTATGTGTGTCGAAAAGAAGTGCAGACTGATTAGAATATCAGATTAGAGGGTTCAGGGTATCTCCTAGTCGAGCAGTCTCGACTAGAGTCTTCTTACTTGTTCTTATTGCCATTTCACGGGCTGCCTCTCTTTGAGAAGCACGAATTAAGGCCCTTCTTTGCTGGGTACTAACGCGGAGCCTTTCTCGGGCGATTTCTCACTCTTCGTCAGATAATTGACTCGCGATATTCCGTTGCCTAATTGCATTATGGGTCCGCCGGGAAAGATTAGATCTTCTAGGACGCGCCATTTTTATACCCTGAACCCATTTTCAATGGGAAATCAGGGTATAATGGTTTTGTTGAAATGTATGTAACAGGCAGAAGGAGGCGTGGCAGACCCCACAAAGTATATATATTCTTGATCAGGGCGACGAGCTGAGTTGATTTGGCCCTGTCCGTCTGTCTGTCCGTCTGTCCGTCCGTCCGTCTGTCCGTATGTATGAACGCGTCGATTTCAGAAGATATAAGAGCTAGAGACTTCAAATTTTTTTAAAAATGTCCGTAATTACAGCGCGCATATCAAGTTTATCATTAAAAATCGATAACTCATCTCGATCTTTTTTTATCGATAAAAAACCTTATCGAAACCCAGTTATAAAATTATATCTTCTACACCTTTATTGCTAGAGTCTTCAAATTTTTAATGTATGCTTATATGCAATTTATACAATTTCGGTTTTTGTTAAAATTTACCCCCCACCCTTAAATTCACCCCCTCACCCTCACTTTTGTAAAAAGCGTATTTCAAATACTAGAGACTTGTGCTTTGGCAATTACATGCATATTCATGTTATAATCATAATCTAAAAGTTTCATGAAGATCGTACGTCCATAAAAAAAGTTATTAAACAATTAAGTTTTCATAGTAAGCGCACACTGCAGCCCATGCGTGTTTATGCGTGGTTGCTTGTGTGTGTATGTGTTTGTGTATGTGTGTGTGTATGTGTGTGAGTGTATGCGTTTGTGTCTGTATGCGTGTGTGTGTTTGTATGCCTGTGTGTGCGTACGTGCGTGTGTGTGTGTGTGTGCGTGTTTCTTGTGTAAGCTGAAAGTCGCGAAAAAGTATTGAAATATCTATTGCTCCAAGGGTTCAGGGGATCTCATAGTCGAGCAGTCTCGACTAGAGCTTTCTTACTTGTTTTTTTTTTTTTTTTTTGAATAGTCAGGTCTGCTCGAGGCTGTGCCGTAGACTGACTGACTACATTTGTTTATTTACTTCTATACAGGACCGAAACTGTCACTGTTGTCAAGGCTACTGAGTATAAATGGAAATTTGAATCTTTAGGGAAAAAACCGCGTTTTTCAAGTATTCGTCAAATTTTTTCAGTATTTTAAAGATCTACTGATCCGCCTCGTGGCGGAGACAAATCCAACAAATCAAAAACCATGAAAATTGGTCCAGCAGATCTCGAGTTATAAGTGCTAAGAAACTTTTACACAACTCTCTTTTATATATATAGATATATATATCAGAGCTTGCATATGAGAGTTGATCGTTTTTCGTTTATGCTCTTCTTCGCATCATAACCAAAAAAATTGTGCAGACACGTCTCGCTCTGAGCGTCACTCTTTGTTTTCTTTAGAATCTGTTTCGCTCAGACGCAATGCAATGATTCATTCGTGTGACGCTCTCACATGAGCGTCGCGTAAAACTAACACGATTTTTCCTCACACAAAGACTCTCAGCAAAAAACAGTTTGACTAAAAAACTCAGCAGAAAATGTTTTTGCCTTCGTGTGCATGTAAATACACGCATACATACATACAAAAAGAACGCAGCAATCGCGCGTGATTACCCATACAAACGCAACTTACCGTTTGCTTCATTTAACTCAAGCAAACGATCAGTGTTTGACTTGAGGAAACGAAAACAGATATAACTGTCTTCCTCAGAGCGCGAGCGAGTTAAGCCAGACGCGACAAAAACAGTTTCTGTCTGAGTTTTTTTGATTGTGTCAGTGAAAGACACTTATTTGCAGACATCTATATATATATAAGAGAGTTGTGTAAAAGTGCTCCTCCACTTTTAACTCGAGATCTGCTGGACCGATTTTCATGGTTTTTGATTTGTTGGATTTGTCTCCGCCACGAGGCGGATCAGTAGATCTTAAAAATACTAAAAAAAATTTGACGAATACTTGAAAACGCGGCTTTTTCCCTAAAGATTCAAATTTCCATTGATACTCAGTAGGCTTGATAACAGTGACAATTTTCGGTCCTGCTCTCATATTATACAATAGTATTTGTTTGTCTCAAACATAAATTTGTGTAAATTATTTATATTTATATTTCTCGATTGTTTTGTGCGAGGGCATATTCAGTATTACTATTAATAAAAATGCCGCGTCCTAGAAGATCAAAGCTTTCCCGGCAGACTCATAATGCAATTAGGCAACGGAATATCGCGAGTCAATTATCGCACGAGAAGAGCGCCGCGTTAGTATCCAGCAAAGAAGGGCCTTAATTCGTGCTTCTCAAAGAGAGGCAGCCCGTGAAACGGCAATAAGAAATGGTTCAAGGATTGATTTGAATCGTGCAACGTTTCGATATGATTGCACCATTGACTACAGCTTGAATCGTTTAGTTTGCATTGGTCCAATAGACGTTGTTTGCCAGCATTGTGGCGCATTGAAGTTTGCTGGTGAAACGCCCGGTTTGTGCTGCCTTAGTGGTAAAGTGACATTGCCATTAGTGGTCCCGCCACCAGAGCCATTGCGTTCCCTACTTTTCTAGCGAGCACTCAAAAATACAATGCC